ATGTTTCATGTCAAATACATTAAATACAAGTGACTACACTAGAAGTGGGGGAAAAAAAGAAAAAGAAAACTTAATTACTGCTGAATTGAAAAGATCATCCACATTTAAATAGTTTTATATGATATTGTTAATACACTAAGTTTTAAAACTCACTTTGAAGTGTTTCAAGTTCAGTTCTAGCCAGTGCATCTTCCTTTTCCTTCAATCTTGTTTCTTTATATTTAGCATAAATCTGTCCAGCATCCTTCAAAAAAAGTTAAACATAAATTAACATAAAAATCAGTTTGCTTCAGTATTTTCCATATAACTTAATTTTAAAGCATTATATTCATTTTATAAGTAGCCTTTTTGTTTTCAAATTTTATGAACAGAAATTAATAAACATTTCTCTATGATTTTTTCTCTCCTGGAGAGCTGGATACAAGCAGAAATTTTATGAGTATACATTTGAACTCTTTTTTCTCTCAGATACGGAAAGAAGGTATCCTCTTCCTGTTTTCTTCTATTGTATGCTATTTTCATAATATACTGTTGTATATACAGAGAGCAGAAAAACTCATTTGCTTAACTGATTTGGCATAGTAAATTATATTACTGTGACTAACAAAGTACTACCGTCATTTTCATATTAGCCCCTTAACTACAATAGATATTCAAAATTATTATTTTTGAATCTGATTATAAAACTTATATGAGCATGTAATGAAAGTAAAAGTTGCCACTCCTTCTTCTACCACTTTTAGAGACCAGTATAAAAACAGTTAACATGAAGTCTTGAGGACTGAAGACCGAGGACACATACTTCACACACACACTTAGGTAACAAGATACAGTGGCTAAAGTCTCTGTAAGTGGCACACAGGTAAGGCTTTAGTGGTGCATCAAAAAAAGACTAGGTCTTAAATAATGACATACATACAAATAAACAAGTTGATGCTCTAAGCATATGAGATCCTGACAATGAAAATAAGCAAGACAGATCTTTTACCACACTCCTTGGTTCAAACTTCACATATTCTGTAGGAATACCACTTGTATTAATAGTGGCCAGCCCACATTGTGCTTCTATGTCTGTGCAATTGCTTTGCCCTCTGCCTACAATATTGTGCTTCCCTGCCATTATTATGATGAACTCTTATTCATCTTGAAAACCCATTCAAGTCCCATCTTCTTTGCAAGTTTTTCTGACCTTCTCTGGCAGTGAAATTCTCCCTTGTATACTACTTCTGTATTTAAACACATCTATAACTGCTTGTATCATGTTATATTCTCTTCCAGATGAGAAATTTGAGATAGTGATACTTAGATGCTCAGAGCACATGTATCTCAGAGCATCTGGCATAAAGCAGGTACTCAATAAGTATTTGCTGAATTAGAACTAGACTGAAATATATGAGAAACCTAATAAAGCAAGAAATGAAGGAGCTTGATGAATGTGAAATAAGAAGAAGAGTATCAAGAATAACTCTAGGGTAGTATTTCCAGACCATAAGATTCCTCGAGCAGATAAATCATCGACCCATCTGAGAGAGTTTTATTCCTGCAGGAAATAAAGGAACAAAATCTTTGACACTACTTTGACTCAGATGTAAATACATAAATATTGAAACCCTAGAAATTCTTTCCATCTATGACTGTGTCCAAATTAAAGCTTTCTCCTGGGTGTCTGTGTCTCTTGGGGTCATATCAGAACTTCTCCACCTAAGAATTAGGTATCCCTAAAATCAGTGAATCAATATAATACAGATATATTATCAATATAGTAAAAGATCTCTTATTTTTTTCATCCCCCCTTTTACATTCCTACCTTATTTCTACGAGAAGGATTCAAACAAGCCCTAGGCTAGCTAAATAATGGTAAGATTGGAAGAGCACAGATGGCCATGCACCCAACTTATTCATCCTCCTATGCCAATGTATGGTTTAAGTTTCAGCAGGGTTTTGGGTTAAGGTTTTAAATTCCCATAACAATCCCCACCCCCCTCAAAAAAAGTCAACCCTGAAGAAGTATTATTTTATATTAAGCCATATCAGTCATTTATACCTTGGTGTGAATGAATGAATGAGCTTATTAGCTTCTTTCCACAGAGTAGTTTTTAATAGTAGGGAAGAAGAAAAGGTCAGGAAAACATTGGCTCCTTGAGGGGAGTAGGAAATGTGGCACATGCAAGAAAAGAAGGGCACAGATTAGCTATTTATGAGAGGTAAAAGAAAGTAGGCTGATCAATCATAACAGTATAGCACAGTGAAATATAATATGATAATTAAGAGGACAGATTTTGGAGCCAGACTATCTGAATTAACCTCTCAGCTCTGCCGTCTTAGTATCTGACATTCAGCAAATTATTTTATTTCTTTGAGTCCATTTTCTCATCCATAAAATGGGGATAATAAAGGTACCTAATTTATAGGGCTGTTATGAAGATTAAATGTGTTAATACCTGAGAAACACTTAGAATGACATCTTCTATATGGTTAGGCCTTATATGTATATTAGTAATTTTATTACTATTTCCACCAATTTGACAAGAATATTGTTTTCTAACACAAAGGATGAGTTTTGTGCTTCATACTTCACCAAAATTGCCCTGCCAAATCCTGTATCTTCTTGCTATGTGACCTCTTTAATTGCATCCTTCTCACTTCACTTTGCTGCATAATAGCAATCTATTCCTAGTAGTCCTGCCAAATTTGAACATTTCTGTTAGTGTTTCTTCTTCCTGCTATGGCACATAATCCCACTAAAACTTCCTTTTTGAAATACACCTTTAATCCAAAACCACACTTATCTGAGGACCGCAATCCACCCAATCACCTTAACCTACTCTACTTAATCTGAGAGTTTCAATATATTCCCTAGTCTCATTCACTGTTTTTATCTTCCTTTTGCTCCATTTCTAAACATTTATTTAAACGTTCCTCATATTTTCTCTTTTTCTTAAATCTTACCAATGCTTTGAAATCAAATTACAATATGCCCACTCCAGGAAATATTACTTACTTAATAATCTATGATCTCAAGCAATTCTACTTTACTAAACAACTCTACATTGTTTCAACCATCCTTGTGTACAGTTTGGGGTATCACACTTAAAAATGCACTGACAAATAGACCTTAAAAGGAAAGTGATTAAATAGGGAGGCAGCTTGAAACTCTATTTTTAAAAGAGATTAGAGATAAGAAGATTGGGGATAACTTAGTAACTGCCATAGAATATCTTAAGATTTATTACAGGAAAGAATGGTGTAAACTACTATATATGGTTCCAGAGATTAAAATTTGATTTTGGATAAATATAAGGAAGAAGGCTGGGCGTGGTGGCTCATGCCTGTAATCCTAACACTTCGGGAAAAGAGGTGGGCAGATCATTTGAGGGCAGGAGTTAAAGACTATCCTGGCCAACACGGTGAAACTCCATCTCTACAAAAAATACAAAAAATTAGCTGGGCGTGGTGGCAGGCACCTGTAATCCCAGCTACTCAGGAGGCTAAGGCAGGAGAATCACTTGAACCCAGGAGGTGGAGGTTGCAGTGAGCCAAGATCACACCACTGCACTCCAGCCTGGGCCACAGAGTGAGATTGTCTTAAAAAAAGAAAAAGAAAAACAAAAATATATATAGTATATATGGAAGAAATATATATTAATATATATATTTATATGTATAAACAGTGATATTTATACTTAACATTTGTATATATTATATATATTTGAAAGAATTCTCTAATAATTAAAATTACCTGAAAATGAAATAGACTGATTTTGGAGGTAGTATTCAAGAAGAAACCAGGTGGCATTCTTTAAGGTATATCCTAAGGTACGGCTATTCTTTAAGGTATGCTTTTGAATTCAAGCATTCAAAAGAAGATAAATAAGACAAATTGTTTTCAACCCCTTTTCCCTCCCATTTTTCATGGGGGACTAATTCAAGTGAATAAAATTGTTTAATGGGGAAAATAAGCAAAAAAACCTTATTTTGGGTCCAGAGTAAACTCCAGTTTACCTACACAGAAAGTTAGATTTCTTGTGGATATAAACTTCGAATCCATCCTTATAGCCCTAGTATACTACCTGGCACTTACAGAAGCTTAATAAATATTTAATGAATACTAAGATGCTTATTTCAACTGATTAGGGCTCTGAACTGCCTGCCCCATAATACATTTTTTCCAAACAGAAAGAACTCCTATTCTCAAGGAGTTTATAATCTTTATGAATGGAACCATGAGCAAAAGTTTTTATTCTAGAAGCAACTGTATTAATACTTAAAATTTCTTTTTTTTTTCCCCAAGATGGGGTCTCGCTGTGTTACCCAGGCTGGAGTGTGGTGGTGTGATCTCAGCTCACTGCAACTTCCACCTCCTGGGTTAAAGCAATCCTCCCTGCCTCAACCTTCCAAGTAGCTTGGATTACAGGTACCCATCACCACGCCCGGCTAATTTTTGTATTTTTTAGTAGAGATGAGGTTTTGCCACGTTGGCCCGGCTAGTCTTCAACTCCTGACCTCAGATGATCTACTCACCTTGGCCTCCCAAAGTGCTGAGATTATAGGAGCCTCCATGCCCAGCCAACACCTAAAATTTCTTGAAGAGTTCAAAGCCTGCCTGCATAGACATCAGGCGATGGTTTTACATTTAAACAATGGCTAACTTAGAGAATGTATGCGTGTTCTTTGTATGAAATTATAGAGTATAGGTTCCTGTACAAGAAGACACTCAACAGTGATATTTATACTTATTTATTAAACCATTGTAATATGTGTTGTACATTATTAGCATACATGGGGATTATATAAGACATAACAGTTTCCCTTAAAAATATGTAAAAACTATAAATATTAACCAAAATATGGAACATAGAATATAAGCTCCATGAGAACAGGAATTGTTGTCCTCTCCCACTCCCTCCCCCAGGGCCTTGAAGAGTACCTGGCACAAAGTAAATAAGCACTCAAAAAATAAATATTTCTTTTTTTTTCTTTTTGAGACAGAGTCGCCAGGTGCCAGGGTGGAGTGCAGTGACACAATCTCAGCTCACTGCAACCTCCACCTCCTGGGTTCAAGCAATTCTCCTGCCTCAGCCTCCCGAGTAGCAGACAGTAGGTGTATCTGTCTCTTGTGACTAATACAAATAGTAAGTACTATAAAGTTAGTATAGAGAACCTACAATGGGAATTTTTCAGTTGTCCTGATGTAGGAAGGCTTCATAATAATGACAATTTAGCTAAGCCCTGAAGATACAATATTTCTAAGGTTAGTGAGCTGTGAGATAGAGAACACCTTTACATTAAACCTCTTTTTTTTTTTGAGATGGAGTCTTGCTCTGTCACCCAGCCTAGAGTGCAGTGGCAACATCCCAGCTCACTGCAAACTCCACCTCTCGATTCAAGTGATTCTCTTGCCTCAGCCTCCCGAGTAGCTGGGATTACAGGCACCCGCCATCATACCCAGCTAATTTTTGTATTTTTAGTAGAGAGGGGTTTCACCATGTTGTCCAAGCTGGTCTCGAATTCTTGTTCTCTGGTGATCCACCTGCCTGGGCCTCCCAAAGTACTGGGATTAGAGGTGTGAGCCACCACATCCCGGCCATCCTTTAACATTCTTGACATAGTTCATTTAAGTGATAAAAGAACATGCTGAGGCGGCACTGTTGTAATGTTTTGGTTTACTTTTATTTGTCCTTATAAACGTCAACATATTAAGCAGCCCAAAGAAAGCTTAAGAAAGAAGGGTACTAAACTAACAGAAAACCAAACACTGCATGTTCGCACTCATAAGTGGGAGCTTAACAATAAGAACACATGGACACAGGGAGGCAAACCACACACACCGGGGGCTTATGGTTGGCAGGAAGAGGGAGAGCTTCAGGATAAGTAGGTAATAATGCATGTGGGTTTCATACCTAGGTGATGGGTAGTAAGCAAACCACCATGGCACATGTTTCCCCATGTAACAAACCTGTATATTCTGCACATGTATCCGGAACTTAAAATAAAAAAGAAAGAAAGGGCATTGATTGAGAGTGGTAGGAGCAGGGAAATAAAACTTGTCCTGATGGGAATAAGGAATATGGGAGAGTTCAGAGGAAAGATAGCTAGAAACAATATGGAAAATGCTCTATTTCTTTTTGATTGTTTGATAGCCCAAATCTTCTCTTTTGTTTGAAGCTTAGAAATAACCTTCAATATAGGAAAATATCATACATACATTTCTGAAAATCTGCCCACAAAAATCAAATGCTCTATATTGTTTTGTTCTCCCACCGAGTTATACTATAATCTCAGAATTACATATAATATGTAATAAAATCACAATGAAGAATATAGAAAAACTTTAAAATTGTATATTTTTGTAAGAGTCAAAATTTCTGTACAGAATTAGACTAAATCCACAAAAAGTAATAAAACAGAAAACAAGAGGCTACTATCTTCCTCTGGTCTGAGACAGTAATATTCAAGGAGATGCAAAGTCTAAAAACTACTTTTTCCATTTGGTCCAAGAGATAGAAGAGACTTTAGAAGCTATTTATTCAGCCCTAACTCAATGTAGGAATCCTTCTACAACTTAAGTCATACAGACATCCCAGACTTAATGATGGTTTAACAGAACAATTTTTCTATGTTATGATTGTGCAACAGTGATATGCATTTAGTGGAAACCATATTCCCAGGACCCATACAATCATTCTGTTTGTTTTTTCTTTCAGTACAGTATTCAGTAAATTATGTGGGATATTTTGCATTAAAAAAAATACAATAGCCTTTGTATTACAGATTATTTTACCCAACTATAGGCTAAATGTAAGCAACTTATGGTATTTTCTCCTTATGATGGGCTTATCAGGATGCTATTGATAGTAGGTTGAGGAAAATTTGTAATTATAATTAGCCTGAACATTCTGACAGGGACTTTAAGATTAGACAGCTTATACTATAAAGCTCTAGTTATGTACCTGGGGAGAAATGTATTCTTTCTTAGTTTTTATATTTCTCACCTATTTTTTTCTTATATTTTAGTATTTCCTTTCATCTGCTTTAAGTTTCATTTCTATCATTAACTAGTTATATCACTTTGGGGAAATTGTTGCACCAATCTGAATCTTAAGTATTTTCATCTATAAAATATGGAATTGATGAGACTATCTGTTGCTAACATCCCACCTACCATTTTGGGGCTTTCATCTTTTCTACATCTAGCAATAACCTACAAGACTCTATAATCTGCCTTTGGATCTCTAAGTACTTGCATAAGATGCAAGGACATATACTTTCAGAGGGCTGAAGTAAAGAATCTCTGTCTTACGTTGTAAGGTCGTTCCAGTTTTCCTGTATCCCTTTGCCCTGTAGCAGTAGAGTTTCAGCTTATAAAAATTCAAATGTATTCTCCATCTCTTTTTATTTGATTTTATATTTCCTGTGTCAGGTTTGTGTGTGTGAGTCTGAAAAGTTTTGAAAAAGCTTTTTAGAGTATTAAAAGCAAGCTGCGTCATCCCTCAGAAAATCTGTTTAACTCTAAGAGGAAGGGCAACTCAGCTTGCAACAAATGCCTCCTAGCCTTTTGGAAGCTTTTTTTCCTGCTAATTAGCTGTGAATGTTTTGTTTGTTTGGTTTCTGACAGAGTCCCAGCAAGTAGTAGCAAAGGGGCTGGAAACGAAGGGCCCTAATTGTCAGAGAGGGTGACCTCCAGGCTTGTCCACAGTTGTAGTCTCCATGGGAGAAGTAGCTTCTTGGGAGGGAGGATGCTTCCATTTATAGATAGTTCTATAAAGTATAGTACTCCCTTTACTCTTAGGCTACTTTTTTTTTTAAGGTAAAAGCCAGAGCTGTACAGAGAAGACTCCTCTATTTTCTCAGCCACTGCTCCTAGGCAACCTATACATCCTGATGGGGCTGGGGATATGCATGCTGGAAACTTCCTACAACAATTTTTATTTTAATGACGTTCTAGTTAGATCTGCTTGGTAGTGAGAAAAGATGGAGCTGTGACTTAAAAAGGTGAAAATTTTACAACTTTAGGCAATGCACAACCAAATGCGTTTTATATTTTATAAATTATATTCTACTGAGAAATAAGTCAGAGAGAAACTTAAACAGTGAATTCCTAGAAAAATCAAACAAATTCTCAAGCAAATTAAATTCTGACTACTGAAGATCTGTTTGATCTCAGAAAATGGAGAGAAATGTGTCTATGATTTAGATTGGTAATCACTTGGGATATGTTGCACTTCCTGATTTTATGAGCGAAACTAATGGTCCCAACAATCTAAATTATTATTCTGGGCCCAGATATATAAGCTTATGATATAGTGAGGAAAATAAACTAAGTTATAACAGCTAAATTGAAAATATGCACAGAGCCACTGATTATATGTCATCAACTACTTGCTATTTTCCAGGTTACAGAACATATGATCAATTTAAAAATATCCAAGATGGGCATTTTGGAGGTTAGAAAAATTTCCTAGGTTACAAGCTGAATACAACCAACAAAGAAGACTGGTTTTGTCAGATTCCAAGAGAATGTGTACTTCCTTCAAACCCACCATGAGAGTAGAAACAGACTGGTAAGATATCAAAGTGTCACTGGGGCTATACGTTTAATGTTAAAATTATATTCTTGCCTCAAAGGATTTAAGCCCTCCATGTCTTCTGGGGATCACTCTACTTGCTTTCTTAGCTAACTCAACACACTTCCTTAAGTTCCCCCTGCTTCTTTCATGCAGTCATGCATTTTACTACTCTCCAACATTCTCTAATCTCTGTAAGCACACACCAGCCTTCCATTCACTCGTCGATTTACAAACACCATATTCTTTTTCTGTAATTTCTCACTTGACTTTTACCTTTTCTGAGTAAGTAGAAAAGGTAAATACAAAAATTATATGGCACACACATTTGACTAAATACAGCAATATCCATGCATCTTTTCCTTGAATACTGACCCACTTGGGAAATGTCTGATACTAATTTATCAAATATTTAACATGCATCAAGTATAACAGCTTTTCACTCTTTGGCTTTGTTCTTCTAATCTATCAATTCTTATAATTCTCCCAATATCTAGGAACAAAATCCAGTGCTCTGGAGGTAATAAGGACCTTCTCAAGAAGCAAGGTGAACTATCAAAGAGATACTTTTACCTCTATCTTGCCTAATCACAGAACTGCTTCTAATATTTTCTGCTGGTTTCACAGTCATTATATACTTTATTTCTACCATTCCTAACAATATACACATATCTTTCACAGGTGAATGTAATCAAAGAAATACTTTGTTGTCCTATCAATTAACTTTATTCTGTCTAAATATTCTTTTTAGACTTGTCACATCAGATTTACCTGTTATAATATAAATTCCTAAGTGGATATACTCAGAATGTGAAGACCTGGAATACAGTCTGAGAAGACAGTAATGGGCTACATGATACCCTCCTTTAAAAAAAAATGTTTTCCTCAGGATGCTTTTAGCCTTAACACAGTATGATTTTATGAGAAGTACTGCATCTACAAAATTATCTTTGCATACCACCTAGTATAAAGTGGGCACTTAACTGTTAAGTGTCTATTCATCTTTCAATATTCAGTTCAAGTGGTTCCTCTTTTTAGTTTTTGTTGGTTATCCCAAACAGAGACAACCTCACTTCTCTGAATATCTATAGAAGTCATTGTTCATACTAAACATGTGAAGCATATATACCGTATTGTATAATGGTTATTTAAATTCATGTGTTATGACTGCCACCTGACTATAAGATCTTAGAGAAGGCATATTTATCTCTGTAGTCCCTAATAGTGCCTTGTTCTGATATATGTTTAAATATTTTTATTGAACTAGCTGAATTCTTTTTCTAAACATCTGAACAAGAGACCCCTTACACATCAAATATGAAAATAGTTATTTGCATTTGTAATTTTGTTTGGGAGGAAACAGAAAATAATTTAGGTAAACTAAGCAGGCAATAGGAGTTTTCTTAGGGCTCTTAGATGCTAAGTAATAAAAGTGAACTTGGGAGCCCAAATTAGCCAGAAATGCCCCTTTTCCCAATCCTACCAGATGACTTTATATATGTGAAGTATAGTAAAGGAATGAGTATTTAGAGGATGAATGGGAAGGAAAGAAATTAGAGTGAAGCCGAGGCGGGTGGATCACGAGGTCAAGAGATCAAGACCATCCTGGTCAACATGGTGAAACCCTGTCTCTACTAAAAATACAAAAAATTAGCTGGGCATGGTGGCACGTGCCTGTAATCCCAGCTACTCAGGAGGCTGAGGCAGGAGAATTGCCTGAACCCAGGAGGCGGAGGTTGTGGTGAGCCAAGATGGTGCCATTGCACTCCAGCCTGGGTAACAAGAGGGAAACTCTGTCTCAAAAAAAAAAGAAATTAGAGTAAAGAACTATTGCCACGACAAGATTTGGGTATGTCACTTGCTGGAAGGCTGTGAATCTCCCACTTTTAGCCTCGACCCTATTTCTTAACCAATAGCTATATACTGATGTCAAATATTTGCAGCTCGGTTTTAATTAACTTTGTATGAAATTCAAGGAATTTACACCAAAAGTAAAACTCTCTTGACTTATATGTGCTTAACTAATTTACTGTATACCTGTAAGAGCTGGTTGTGTTAACTCTTAAACCTGCTTGTGGTAGTTACACTTGTTATTCTGATTACATGATTCAATTAATTACTGTCTAAAAAAGGATGAGATATGAGTAAGAAGTAAGAGTTGCTTCTATGAAGACCAAGTTGAATGTTTTGGCAAGCTCAAAATAAGAGTTGTTAAAATGCTGTTTTCATGTCCCACCTAGGGTATCTGCCCCCGCTCCCTGTCCAAAACAAAGCCAAAAAAGCCTGGCACAGAGATGTGTGCGTATAGTCCCAGCTACTTCGAAGGCTGAAGTTGGGGGATGACTTGAGCCTAGGAGCATGAGGCCAGCCTGGGCAACAGCAAGACCCTACCTCTAAAAAAATAAAAAGTAAATTAAAATGCGGTTAACTAGATATAAGAAAGCCAATTATGAAAGACTTTTTGGAAATCATATATATCTATAAAGATTATACAATTACATTACTTCACAAGACCCTAGTTTGACTCTTCTCTTTTTTTTTTTTTGAGACAGAGTCTTGCTCTGTTGCCAGGCTGGAGTGCAGTGGCGCAATCTCGGCTCACTGCAACCTCTGTCTACTGGGTTCAAGAGATTCTTCCGCCTCATCCTCCCAAGTAGCTGGGACCACAGGTGCATGCCACCACGCCCGGCTAATTTTTGTACTTTTAGTAGTGATGGGGTTTCACCATGTTGGCCAGGATGGTCTCGATCTCTTGACCTTGTGATCCGCCTACCTCAGCCTCCCAAAGTGCTGGGATTACAGGCGTGAGCCACCGTACCCGGCCAACTCTTCCTTAAAGAAAGCAAGATTATTGGTATGGCTTATGCCAGAGAAAGCACAAGAAACTTCAATCAGTGGACTCTAATTTAAAAATAAAACAATGGTCCTATGTCATAAAAGTGGTGCATAGAGTACAAGTCTTCAAAGTTTAAGATTGTACGTATCCTTTTTTATTCTTAGAGCTTTAACAGGGCTCTTTTTTGACCACTGTTCCAATTACCAATCCAGAAAACTTCAGGTTAAAAAAGACTTGTAAATTTCATAAATATCTTATTTAAGAAGATCTCAAGTTAATACAAAGGTCATAGCATACAACAAAACAAAACGCAGACAAAAATCTAATCCTGACAGCAACTGATCAGTACTGTTTTGCTAATGTATTTCATAAGCAATGTTTATAAATTTAAAGTAATTTCACTATTATAATGTGTATCTGAAAGTCTACTACATTACATCACTTTTTTAGTGACCACGAGAAACACCAATCTAAGATGCCCAAAGCAGAATTAAAATATGAAATATTTGCTTTAAAAAAAAAAAAGCCATCTTAATTTTCTTCTTGAAATCCATTTACCAGGAAGAAATTAGAACAAAATTAAAAATTAGATTTATAAGATCTTGAAAGCCTAATATGTAGCCATCTCAAAACCGAAAGGTAGCAGGTACCATCAATTAGGTAAAAACTTTAAAATTCAAACTGATCAAACAGTTTAAAAAAGCAGAATTTCTTAAGAAACTAAAGTTTCTGTAAAATTCCTCATTTTTGTATTTTTTCTATAAATTTATGATGAGGCAAAACAATCAATCTGTTACATGAATTAATAGGTATCACAGGCAAGTAGTTTTAAATAAATTATAAATCCAAGTCATAGTAATATGTTGGTTCTAGTCTGGCAAATTACCCTGAATGCTAACCAAGAGATATGTTAATTTTACCAAATAAACTTTATTTCAGATTACTTAGATTAAAATTACAAAGAAGTGTTTAATACTGACATCTTATGTAATATTCAATTTATACTGCCTCATGAATATACTTTTAAATTAATCTATATTCTGGTTTGTCTACTGCACAGATTCTAAAGTTGGCAAAAAATAATCAAGACTTAAAAAAAAAATAAGAAAATCTGCCCTAAAAATATTTTTTGTCTCATTTTCTCATAAACATATCAGTGTGATAAAAAGACTCTCCCTCTCTCATTAAGTTTTATAGACAGCATACAAGCATTGCAGAATATTCTTTTAAGCAAACAGTATAGCATGCTAAACAACTTAAAAACAAACTCTTTAAAATACTGAAATACTGTAATTTTTCTCTATTAATTATAAACAAAATATAAGATTTTATAAGCAATAACGGTTAAGATGAACTATTATGATGAAAGAACTGTTAATTTCTGAAAGGACAGGAAAAAGTACACTAGCAATTTGGTTCATTTCCCCTTTAAATATAAAATTTTTAATAGGAGAAAAATAAATGAAAATGCAGAAGTTGGAGTCATTAGCATTTTTAAACAATAAGGAAAAATAGCTCCAATATATAAATACAAAGTGAGTAGAACTGAACAGAATATTATCTGGTCATCTAGATTATAACTACTTATTTTCTAAAATAAAACATTTCTCTCCAAAAATTATAATCTCAACCTCAAAATTTGTACACCAAAAAGTATTTTATTTACTTTCAAATATTTATGTGTTGGGGATTTCCTAACCTGATGTAACCATCAAAATTAACAAAGCAATAATTTAATAAAATATGCTTTGATATACTAAATACAAAAAAGAAACTGACATGTAAATATGATATACATCCATATTTTATTGTTTAATCAAGACTAAATAAAAACAGAAACTGATTACTTGTATAAGATAAAATGTCCTCACTCCTCTTAAATTTGCAAATAAAATGGAAAACAATATATATATTTGTATAATTATACAGATGTTTATGTAAAGGTGGTTTTTCTTTTTTTAATACTATGTACTTAAATGTTATTAAAATAATGGGCGGTAAGCTACTTGAATGCTGTTCCTTTTTACTGGTCATGCTTTTAATGATAACAATGGATTAAATTTTTATTACTTTTATCTCTGTACTAAGGATTGTCTTTTTTTTTTTCTTTTTCTAGGATCTTGGGACTCCAAGGTGATCTAAAACCATTATAAAAGATAATTATAGAAACAGATATCTAAATAATCTTAGAATTGTCTAAATCAGGTTCAACTTATAAAAATACTATTCAATCAACATTATAAAGCATCCACTGCATATCAGCATTCAGATAGCAGACATGGGCATAAACTGTTTCATGAATAATTAAAAACAAAAGCATCTAATATTATATAAAAGAGGTACATTTTACCTGGATTAGGTGAGGTAATGCTTTTAGTGTAAGGCAAAACCAAATCCCCAGTTTGCATGGAAGCAAATCATGCCACTGTGGTTTCATCAGCAATCTAAAGGGAAGGGGGGAAAAAACAACATATGAGGAATATACAGAGAAAGGTGGGAGGCCAAATATTTTTATAAAGTTCAAGAATTCTTTTTTGAATGGCTACTTCAACAAAAAAATGAAGAAAGTATTCACTGAAATATTTATATCTGACTTTCTCTATCATGAAATACAGTGGTCACAACAAATGCAATAGATACAGCATGTTAGAGAATCTAGGCTAAGATTTTGGGGAAGGGGTTCCTAATCAAGTTACAAAGATAAACAAAAGCCCTCTTTCTAACCTAGGCTTTTCATCACTTTTGTACCATGAATTCTTAAACCGTATGATTACTTCAGCTATTAAAACTATCATCAGAGTGTTCCCAAGTGCTGACAACCAGATATGAAGACTGTAGCATAAACAAACCAATACATAAAAATTAATGTCATTTGCAGTTCACTGAAGCATTACTCACTGATGTCATCAGAATAGAAGACAAGCAGAATAGTCTCTGATCTCCATCCCACATTGATCCCAGTTCATGCCCTGCTGTGTGAACTATTTAAACCCTTTATTCCTTTCTATGAATCAAGAGAAGAAATGCTGGTAACTTTTTGAGTATACTGCGTATCACTGCCTCTCTACATACTGTCACTCCTGAGCTAAGTGATAGGTCCATCTAATAGTACTTTGTTTCTAAAGTTCAGTATAAAAATTTCAAACTACAAAAATTTGAGAGATTATTTAAATATATATTAACATTTTATATGGGGAAAAAATCCTGAAGAAATTTTGCTTAAGATTAGACTTTGTCTCATAAACAATGGCACATTATTAGTCTTTTATAAGCCTATCACAGATATAAATGAGAGCACATGCAAATAGACATACATATGAAGTTGAATCATATTAAAAATGTATTTTAAAACACTTTCAAATTATAAAGTATTTTTATATGCTCTCACCTTTCATTTTTTTCTGAAGCACCAAGTTTTGATACATCCACACTCTTGCCGCCAGTCTTTTTTTTCTTTTCCCTCTTTTTTCTACTTAGCAGTTCATCCTTAATGTGGAAAGAATTATGGTTACAG